GTTTGTAAAGATAGTTCGTATTTTTTATTTTTATACCTTTCCCATTACATTGTTAAAATGTCTTGCAGTGGATGACCTCTGTTAATGAACAATACCGAACATTATTTACTTAAAATAAAAGTCTTTTTATTTAGTTTTTTTTATTTCATTTTCATAAAACAATGAGCGAATCCTTTAAAAATAAGCACGTAACATCAATGCTGATAATTGAAAAGAAACGAATGCTAAGTTTATAAAGAAGAGATATATATATGTATGTATACATGTGTAATAATACTATACTAATCATAGAAGTACGAGTTTAAAAGAATGTCCATGTGCACAAGGTATAAATAGGAGTAACGTTTTGTTCTCGAATAAATTGCTCACATGGATTTACATTGTTAATTGTAATTTATTTGGAAGTAAAGATAGGCACGTGTGGGAACTAGCTGTAGGATGAAACAGGTTTGCCATGCAGGATACACCATACTCAATAAAACGTCTTTCTGTACATAATGTATACCTATCTGTACATGTATGTATGTATGTATGTTTTGTTGTTTGTGCGTGTGTGTCAGCACGCGCGTGAATGTGTCAAAGAAATTTTTTTTTAATTTCGAATATACAGTGCAAAACACATGTTATTGTATAAATATGGTTAACGGCTTATGGTTCTATAAATCGCGACTTTATTTTTAATTTGAGTACGGATTAAAAAAAATGTATATATTCAGTTTGTAAAGATAGTTCGTATTTTTTATTTTTATACCTTTCCCATTACATTGTTAAAATGTCTTGCAGTGGATGACCTCTGTTAATGAACAATACCGAACATTATTTACTTAAAATAAAAGTCTTTTTATTTAGTTTTTTTTATTTCATTTTCATAAAACAATGAGCGAATCCTTTAAAAATAAGCACGTAACATCAATGCTGATAATTGAAAAGAAACGAATGCTAAGTTTATAAAGAAGAGATATATATATGTATGTATACATGTGTAATAATACTATACATACATATATATATATATATATGTAACACACAACCACCATTTATATATAAAATTTCATACTACTAAAAGAATGAAGCGTTATATATTTCCTTGTGTTTCTAAACAACTTTAAGTATTTTGTTGGCAACGAAAACGTTTTCAATTCCAGTTAGAGTACAAATTTAAAATAAAATTATACGAAATGGTAATGCAATAAATATTGTAAGAACGTCGATTTCCCATACGTGTTGATTATTACGAGAGTGATGTCAACAACACTTGTAACATTGAAGTATAAATTGTGAAATATTAGAGATGGAAATCCCAATTTTTCTGATTTGTTGACTTACGCTCCTTTCGTAATAAGCAGCATATAAATATGTAAATTACGTATGATTAAAGTCATTTACTCCCGCTAGATATCACAGAATATTCTGCATATCGAAGACTGTTAAAATGGAAGCGAATATTTATTAATTATTCTATTTTCACACTTTTGGTGGATCTTCACGGATCATCTCCAAAGAACTATCTGAATTATTAGTACTACTCCCACTTCCTGCGTCATCTTCTCGCTCGTTTGATTTCTCCTGATTTTTGCCTGCAGCATCTAATTGCCATGATGGTATAGATATAGATGGCACAGATGCTGGTGCACTTGGAAATTGCTTTCTGTTTAAAAGTAGAAATTCTGGTAAATATCTATCTATGTATTAATTTTACTTCCAAATGTTACTTTCTACATTTATTCTATCTCATGCTTTTTCTTACATCATAAATGAAGAAGCAAATGATGTAAGCCAGATTCTTAAGTTGTATTTAACAATATTATCAACTTGTAAAAAAGGTTATTCATTTACTGTTCAATCAGGGTAGTTTGATCTAGATTGCTACACTTCTGAACTTGCCCAATACAGTGTGAATAATAAGAAGTTGATTGACGTGTTGCACTTTATAGATTTTTGTTCCTTATTAAAGGAAGCTTATTTTTGTATTTTTAAGTAAATGTATCTGCTTGTGAGTGATCAAATCAGAAATATATATTTGTACTGTACAAGTTAGAATAAGGAGGTTCAATAAATTTCTGGAACGTACCCTTCAGTTAATTTTCTGTACGATGTGGAAGTTGAATAGTTATATCGTAGCTATGCACTGTTACCTTATAAAACCAATAAACACAATATATAGTGGCTCCAATTAAGGCAGTAGCATTAAAGAATTCTTTGATTCTTTGGAAAAGAGTTATTTGGTATGGATATGTTTGTAAGTATGGGTACATTCGACCTGGTGGAATAGGAACCACCGTGTAATCTCTTGACTCATGAACAACATTTTGATCAACTGTTACATCAACTAAGGCTAATTTAAATGCCGTTTGTATTTCCTCATCTGTTAAACCCTTTCTTTTAAGAAATTCCTTTTTACGTCCAACAGGACTACTTTGTACTTTAGGATTTTGTAAAAATTCCACAGCAGTTTTTACCTTAAATAAAAAGTTGAAAAAATTCAAGTTAAAACTGTATATTAAGTTACCTCATCTTCAATATTAACACAGCAGTTTAGTATGAGTCTGATATACTCAAATCTCTTATTATATGATAATTTTTAAGATCTCTATGTAACCTAAGAATGATGCGGAACAACTTACTAGATTTTCCCTTAAAGCAAAATTATTATTATTCGCATCTTGATCGGCCATTGTCATAATTATAAACTTTGATAACTTTAATATAATTGTAGTCTTATAGTACGAGGTCTTCAGTATTTTAATATGCAAATCATTTTGTAATACTCAGTACACATGCATCCAAAGCTATTACAACGCGCAGGCGTTGATATAAATATTAGATGTACTATATTTTTCATGCAAGAGTCATTTTTTATACCTATTAACAGAATTATTGAACTTTGTATTTTGTCCGATTCAAATCCATATCGTATGTACCAAATAAGGTGATAACAATAAATGCCTCAAATCATTAAAAGTATGTACATGTACTTTTATAATATATTGACTGCATATATTCAATTATATGAAAACAAGGGGACTGTAGTCTCTTATAAATAGAATAATCTCTTTCTTCATAAAGAAAGGGTTTAACCAGTTAAGTATTTGCAGACGTATATAATGCTTCTTGTATTTTTACTTTAATGATTACGCATACAAATGTAGTACCGTACAACTACCGGTTTTGAAATCAGTGTAACAACTCTTTTTGCTCTAAATGGTATAATTAACATATTCATAAACGTAGTAACTTATGCTTTAATCTGAATTAAAAATTGCTACGCATTATGTGACCTGATTACTATTTGGAATAGAACTTATGCCAATATGTTTCATTGATACACGTAGTTGAAAGAAGTGGGTGTCACTGGGTGCTGCTTTCGTCATTTGATAGTTCGTACTTGTCTCAGTAGGTTGGTACTGTTACCGTATATTTCGGAGGTTGATACAAATTAGTATCGCTTATTTTAATTAACAGCACCGAGAGTCATGCGTAAGTGGTCTTCTATCATTCTTAAATTCTTATTTACGAATATTTCCATCTATAATTTTTGGAAAATTCCCGATAATGACAATACCTGCGGTACAGGCCATTCATTTCCGATCAATAATACTAACCATTTACAAGACATATTAGAGAACTAGAAATGTCATTTAAGAAAGGGGCGTTATCTTTTACATACGTATACATTTTTGACTGTTCAGCCGAATAAGCAATGTAGGAAGATCATATTGTCTTTTTAAGTAAATTATTCCCTTCGGTTTCTCCAAGGTAATGGCATGCATTTGTGGTACCTGGACACACAGTACTTACTTTCTCAAAAAGATTTTCCTGTCATATCTTGTATTAATTAATTATTGTGATTCCTTTTAATCTATGTATATTTTGCACTGTATATTGAATAAATTTAATTATAAAATTAATATTATCATAAATTGATTAATTATTATACATTTAGCACTTGTACATTTCTCAGATTATAAGTGTTAAATAATTATATTTAAACGTGTATTATGTACTTTGATTTTTTGTGATTTATGAGCTTTATACTTTCTGTGCATATAGTAATACACATGAATATGTTTGTTTTGTAGAGTATTTGTAGTTGGGACAATAAATAGTACCCTCTGTCAAAATGATAGGGGGTTTATTTGTATACAATCATAAGGGGGAGGTGCTCATCTCCAGAGTGTACAGAGATGACATTGGCAGAAATGCAGTTGATGCATTTCGTGTTAATGTCATCCACGCGAGGCAACAAGTACGCTCCCCTGTTACCAATATAGCCAGAACATCGTTCTTTCATATAAAACGTGCGAATATCTGGCTGGCTGCTGTTACCAAACAGAATGTTAATGCTGCTATGGTCTTTGAGTTTTTGTTGAAGATTATCGATGTTATGCAGTCTTACTTCGGTAAGATCTCAGAGGAAAATATCAAGAACAACTTCGTTTTAATCTATGAACTATTAGATGGTTAGTATATTATGTATTGTAAGTCGTCACTTTGTACGTGTGTATTTAAATGTACACTATATGATTCTCTTATCTTCTCTTCTACATGATTCTGATAATCAATGAATTAGAAGTTCAACGTTTAACGTACATACGATATGGATATCTTCAATACAAGATTATATATATAACTATATTTAAATACATACGCAATACGTATGCATCTATGCAAAATATTTCGATTATCATACAGCATACATTAAACAGCAATTCGTTTTTATCTCTAGAAATCTTAGACTTCGGGTATCCACAAAATTGTGATACAGGAGTATTAAAGACATTTATTACTCAGCAAGGGGTGAAATCCGCAACAAAAGAAGAACAGGCTCAAATAACATCACAAGTAACGGGTCAGATTGGATGGAGAAGAGAGGGAATTAAATACAGACGCAATGAATTATTCCTTGATGTTCTTGAAAATGTGAATCTCTTAATGAGCCCTCAGGGCCAAGTACTAAGTGCACACGTTGCCGGAAAGGTTATTATTTGAGAGATAAGATAATGATAAAAATTACTTTATGAATGAAACTGGCTAATACTTATCTTGTAATAGGTTGTAATGAAATCTTATTTATCTGGGATGCCAGAATGTAAGTTCGGAATCAACGATAAGATTGTTATGGAAGCTAAGGGTATGAAAGGTGGAAGTGGCTTGGGAGGTGGGGGAGATGATCCCACTGGTGCTAGATCTGGGAAACCTGTTGTTGTAATCGACGATTGCCAATTTCATCAATGTGTCAAGCTTAGTAAATTCGAAACAGAGCATGCTATCAGTTTCATACCTCCTGATGGAGAATTCGAATTAATGAGGTAAAAATTCTTAAATAAACCATTAAAAATCAAATAAATTTAACTTGCTAAACCTCTAAATTTTTAAACATTCTTTCCGCTAATCTTTTTTAGATATCGTACGACCAAAGATATATCATTGCCATTCCGCGTGATTCCATTGGTACGCGAAGTAGGGCGTACGAAGATGGAAGTGAAAGCCGTATTAAAATCGAACTTCAAGCCTTCTTTATTGGGACAAAAGATCGAAGTAAGAGTACCAACGCCTCTGAACACCGCGGGGGTTCAATTGATTTGTTTGAAAGGGAAAGCGAAGTACAAAGCATCGGAGAATGCAATTGTGTGGAAAATAAAACGTATGGCCGGTATGAAAGAGACCCAACTATCAGCGGAAATTGATTTGCTCGAAACCGATACGAAGAAGAAATGGACCCGACCACCTATATCGATGAACTTCGAAGTACCGTTCGCACCATCCGGATTCAAAGTTCGTTACTTGAAAGTATTTGAATCTAAACTGAACTATTCCGATCACGATGTTATAAAATGGGTGAGATACATCGGCCGAAGCGGCCTATATGAGACACGATGTTAATAAACATCTCTTCGCATTAATTGTAAATGAGTAATCTCAATGCATAAACACAATTTTATCAGAAACTATCTTAACAGCGCATGTTTAAACAGTTTCCTGAAATGCTCGGATTAACTGGTAAATGGCTAAGACACGATACCAAGGAGAAATTTAGTGCCAATTTTTTCCATAATCTGATTTCTGGTGCGTTACATTTTATTTTATCATAGTTTTTCATAAATTGCTCAAACTCTTTTTCAATAATGTTTTCTATGAGATTTTACCCTGGGTTTTTACTCAAAGTTTCCCGCGCGTGAAACTTAACATTTGTAATTTATAATTTCGTGCGTCATTAGATTTTAATCTTGGATACATTACATCATGTATTATAGTATGTATTATGTTGGTAAGATCGTTTTTATTTGTATTCTACTTTGTATACAAGAATGTTACAACCTCTTTGGTATCATTATGACAAGAAACTCCTAGACAATTGCTAAATGTGAATGGATTTTGAAAATGCGCAAATCAAGATTAGATTATTGAAAATATTTGTTGTCATTTACAAAGATGAATAGAGAATGGCTTGATTCATTGTAAAGGAATAATTTTGTCTCTCTATGTTAAAATTCATATGCATAATAAAGTATGTATGTAATTTAAAATACTGACGTTTCATCAGTAGTATGAATTAATACGTGTTTCATTCCCGTAGTTATGAATTGTCTTTTACATTATTCGTAATAAGATTTTCATTTTAATGGAATAAGGAAGCAATATGGCAGTTAGATACTATAGACTTCCAGACATACATTTTCCGCTTATAATCAAATTATGACTAGATTTGTTAATAACTTTAAGTGAATATTTGCACTCACCATTCGTAGTTGTGCAACGATGTGGTCACAAACGCGGCGGTAATAATTTGATTGCCTTTTTTCACAAAATTTCCACTACCGATCGCAAAACGATAAACGCGGTCTTTCCCGAAGAGAGAAACTATATTATTCAAATAGATATCTAAATACGTAAGCAGAACTGAACTGCGCATGTCAAATTGTTGCAACTGACATGATTGATCCGTATCGATCAATTTCAAAAATGTATTTACAATTTTCTCTTTTTAATTCATTTAATCGTATTCTATCATCTAAATAAATTAATTTGTTGCTAATTATGTAG